AAATGAAGATAATAGACTATTGGGAATAAAGATTAATGGGAAGATTTTACAACGTAAATCAATGATTCTGATCGAGTTTAGGCCAGCAGAGAAGGTCTTGCTGGCCCTGATGGCACACCACTGCTAGAAGTAGAGAGACCTCCAAAATGCCTTTTGTACAATAGGACACAGTTAAAATGCCAAAAAATATAGATGAATTTATTTTATTATTAATTTTACAAGTGTCCAGACGTGTTACGAATATATGGGCAACATGTCGGCTCCACATGCTACAGACTGGCTACTTGACCAGGTCATTTATATTTGTACAACCTCTACAAACTAAGCCTTTTTTATTTTTTATTTTTAACACTACTCTGCACATCAGTTCTAGACAGATGTTTCACCATGTTGCATGTGTCCTCCAACAACTTGCTGACAACTTTTACCACTTTTGAGCCATGCTGCATTTATTTTATTAATCAGCCTGCAGTTCACCTGAAAAGTCACAGAGTTATGTCACTAACGGTTTGTCAGTCGCAAGCAGGAGTGTAGAAATGTTCTTTGTTTGTTTGTTTGTTTGTTTTTAACTTTTTGCATGAGTGCAAATTATTTATTTTAGGTAACTTTTTTAAAAAAATCAGATCGGTAGAATTGTATAGTTTTGATGACGTACTGCCATTGTAAGCATGCATGTGGTTGTTTTTCCTGACAGAGCCACATGTCACATCTTATATGTTCAGGAACATTTGAAAATGTGAAAATCTGTCGTTGTTTTGTTTCTGTTTTCACAGTTTCTGCNAACAGAGAGAGACAAGCCGACAAAGAGAGACTTTTTAATCCTCGCAACTGTTTTTGTGCGATCGCTGTGGTTAATAAATCTCTTTATAAGGATTAAGCAGTGATTGGTAATTACAGGTAAAAAGATACCCATGCATCCAAGTAAAACCTGAAACACAGACTAGATAATCCGACACTAAATGTAAAACCTTCTTTTATGTCGGATTGTCAAGACGGAGGTCCAGATACAAGGAGGGTTTGATGCTGGAAGGCTCATTAGTTGTTAATTATTATTGTTCATAGTTGTTATAATAACTAGTAGGGCTGGTCTGAATAGCACTTTCTGCTCTCTGGATATTCAGGCCCAATTAATGATGAATATCTGAATATTCAGCGCGGTCGGGGGACACTTCCACCCTGTCTGAGCGCTCTGACGAGGTGAAAGTGTCCAGAACATACAGGCAGTACTTGGCTGCTGATGCTAGTTTCGGATAATGGTCATAGTTCTGTTTCCACCATTCCTGTTTACGTCCGTAAACACCAAGCACGCTCGCTACGTGTGACGTCGTTGTGTTGTTTTTTGTGCATGCAGGACACTTTTGGGTCGTATGAAGTTCACACAGCAGATCACATACAAGTCGTATTTAATTGGAAATGTGACCAAACTCGCAAAAAAATTAGATTTCGGATTGTTCAGTCAGATAATACGCTGTTATCCTGATTGGTGACAGAAAATGTCATGTTGGAGTCAGAATCCAAGGCTGTCGGTATGTTAAGGCTGTTTTTAATTGGTTCTGTTAGTTTTTCCTAAAAACCTGTTGCATAGCAAGGTTTGGGATTGTTCAGGGTCGAATTATCGAGTCACGGCTGTATTTTGCTTAAAAGTTAATGTTTTCATGTCCATATAACAAATAAATGCTGTTGATTCAAAATCGAAATCTCTGAGCAGGAATCCGTTTCTGAGCGTTTTTTGCTCTTGTTACAGTTTTGATCACTGTGGTCTCATTTTTCACTGCAACCCAAAGTCCTCCATGGAACCAGCACAACCATAGGTACAAGTAGGAAGACTTCAAAAATGCCTTCGTGCAGCACAATACAATTTTAAAAAAGACAGAAACTAAAGTTGAATTTCATTTTACAGAAAATATATTTTCCAGATGCCCACATGTTTGCTTGATTGCTTCCTTTATGCTATAAAAATCCAGCATGTAGGCAGAAAGACTGTGATGTAATGTGTGTTTGGCTCTAACAAGCCCTCCAACAGGCTCACAAGGAGGCTAATCATAGGTCTTCTCACCTCCGAGGCTCGCATTTTTACCACGTGGTGTGAAATCCGCGCCCGACCCTTAACGAGATATTCACGAGGAGCGCGC